AAGTTAATAATTCCTCTGAAGTTCCCTTTGGGAAATTTAAGCTACACAGACAATGTAAGTTGCTTTAATTCATTAATTTGATTTATTCGGAGTCTGAATTAATTTTTGTAGCTCAGTAACATCAAACAACAACAAAGTCAGCACTTACAAGTTGGCAGGGGAGGGCGCTAAAAAGACCACTTCGTTTAAGAGGTACTCCATTTACTTTACAAACGAACATTCTTGTTAAGGGGATGGACCTACACTATGAAGTTCGTTACATTAATTATGGCTCATGACTCAGGAACAGCAGCTGAGGTCACTGATGGCACTGTTTACTTCCATTTTTAAAAAAATGAATGAATAATTGGAAGGAACGTAGTCAACGATAAAAATCACACAGGCGTCACCTTTGTTTCGTTTCCAAACCAGATTATAGAGGACGTCACCAGACATTGTGACCAAACACATCTGAATAAAAACCAGCATTGTTAAAACAAAACACATGTCTCGACCAGAATAATCACACGCCTGAGTAGGTTTCATTCAGCACGCATGCCCCAAGGCTGCAGGAAAACATGGAACATGAACATTGTGACTCATTGTGATGGATGGATGGATAGAAGATAGACGGATGGATGGATAGAGGGATGGATGATAGATAGATGGATAGAGGGATGGATGATAGATAGATGGATGGATAGATCGATGGATGGATGGCTAGATAGATGGATGGAGAGATAGATAGATGGAGAGATAGATAGATGGAGAGATAGATGGATGGATCGATGGATGGATGGCTGGATGATAGATGGACGGATGGATAGATAGATAGATAGATGGAGAGATAGATGGATAGACGGATGGATGGATAGATAGCTAGATGGAGGGATGGAGGGATGGATAGATGGACGGATGGATAGATAGAGGGATGGATGATGTATGGATGGATGGATAGCTAGATGGATGGATAGATAGCTAGATGGATGGATGGGTGGATGGATAGATGGGTGGATGGATAGATGGAGGGATAGATGGATGGACGGATAGATGGATGGAGGGATAGATGGATGGAGAGATAGATGGATGGAGAGATAGATAGATGGATGGAGGGATGGAGGGATGGAGAGAGGGATGGAGGGATGGATAGATGGAGGGATGGAGGGATGGAGAGAGGGATGGATGGAGGGATAGAAGGGTGGATGGATGGCTGGATGATAGATGGATGGATGAATAGATAGATGGATAGACGGATGGATGGATAGAAGATAGACGGATGGATGGATAGAAGATAGACGGATGGATGGATAGATGATAGATGGATGGATAGATGTATAGATGGATAGATAGATGTATAAATGGATCACATCACATCAAACACATGTCTCGACCAGAATAATCACACGTCTGAGTAGGTTTCATTCAGCACGCATGCCCCAAGGCTGCAGGAAAACATGGAACATGAACATTGTGACTCATTGTGATGGATGGATGGATGGGTGGATAGATAGCGAGATGGATGGATGAATAGATAGATGGATAGG